GACTAGCGATTGTTGTTAGCTTGGCCCTGACTAGGATGTCCTTTAGGTTTTTTGGTCTCCGGTAAGCTACTACAGGTTTGTTCGGAAGTATTAGGTTTAGTATGTCTGACGATTGCACGGTTGGCCAGTGGTTTGCGATGATTTTACCTACTTTGGGATTGTCTGGGTGATAGGTCAGAATAAATGGTATCCTATCAACCTTTTCTTTCTGTCCATATCTGAGTAGGTCATCACGGTTTGTTTGTTTGGCCCTTTGGATTGCCTTCGCTATTGCCAACAACCACAGCTGGAGTTCCGAAACCAGGAAGGAAAAGGAATCATACTGGATACGCCGCCTTAGAACATTGAAACCAAGCGGTCTAAACCAAGAAGACTAGAAAATGAAAACTATGCACTAGTAGAATTTAACATTTTCTAAATCTTCTTATCCTTCAATTTTTACTATAAGAATAACCGGTATAGAACCAAATATCCGGGATATAATCTGCGTTACATATGTACACAAAGTAAAAATAGATGTCGCTTTGGCTTGTAGACTTTTAGGGAATTATACAACGTTTTCAGTTTCCGCAACTAGTCTATACAAGCTGGTTGTATTTATAGTTTTAGCACATGTGAAGATAGAAATGTAGAGGTTTACAAACGCAACGTTTTTGTGTTTATTTGTTTGTCGTAACTATGTTTTGTATTTGCCTTTGAAAAAGACTCATTAAGAGTCGAAAGCGCTTAGGCTAGTTAGTTACTAGTTTCGTACTGTTCGTCGTCAGTTTATTGCATCTATATATATATATATATATATATATATATATATATATATATATATATATATATATATATATATATATATAAGTCTATAAATTCGTCAACATGAATTGAGACACGTACTCATCACAGTGTATTGTTTGTCTTGCAATAAACGTTCGTCCTAATTCCTACAACTAGGCTTTGGTGCTAAAATAAGCAGGTTATGGGAGATCTTTTTCCATTAAAAATAGGTTTGTCTCTGTAAAATCAATTATAAATGTGCTATAATGTTATCGTGTTTGCCAGAGCGGAACGTGATATTATTTCCCAATAATTTATAACATCGACTACTCTTGCCGTATTTAAACATGTTTGATGTGGTCACTAATTTACGTTATTATTGCTTCTAAGTGGACAAGCTTGTTCATCGAATCTTTTATCGACCATTTTCTTTACTGTACATAGCATGCCATCAAGAGACTTAACACTTTCACGCATTGATGCAAATCATGTAAAAGAAAGACACATTTTTACAGCTAGTTCTCAAAATATTTGTAGATTATCAAGGGTACATAATAAAACATTAATGAAAATGATAATACAGTTATTTTATACTGCCCTTTATGGATTAAAACCTATGAATTTCATCCATTGTTATTCAATGCTGATTTTATCATAGTGACTAACGTTTGAAGGAGGAAGCAAAGACAGATTAATTTAATTTATCTTTCTAACTCTTGGACGCAGAAAGAACACGACATCAACCTGCTGCTGGCTATTTAGTTTGATCGGTATGTGTGGCCTTTATTAACCTGAAGTAAATCTGATGAAATTAAATTATCATATATTATTGATGAGGGCATGCAAATACGGATTACACGGTCTGTTTTGTCAGGACTCTATGGTCTTAAACTGAGTAATAGAAAAGAGGAAAATCAACACGCTTTGTAAAATTCAGCTTATAATAAAAAAGAATAAAAAAGTTATTATTAAATATAAACTTTCAGCATTTTGAATTAAATCCCAAATAGTTTTAAAAGTTATATCATAAGAACAAATGAATAAAGCTTCAAATGAATTCCAGTGTTGATCCAAATTTTCCAAATTAAATTTGTTGATGTGCCTATAGTCTCGAATTTGTTAATATACAAATGGCCTGTAGTGTGGATGCGCTAACATATTTTTTTATAATGTATCACAATTATATAGCCCAAAATATCCTTATCGGAGTTTTCTATAAATTCCAAAATAATGTTTTGGTCCAATAATATTATTAAGCGCTTTAAAATTCCGATGAATACTAATTCGAATAAATGCAGCCACCCATCTTAAAAACTTAATAAAATAATATGACTGATTATGTTTCAGATGTTAAGGCAATACTGAGTAATTTTTCAAATAAAAAATATTTGAAATAAAATGCTGACACAACATAATAAAGCCAAATGTCAGTTTTCTTTAAAAAAAAAAAAAAAAAAAAAAAAAAAATTCACAGTTCTTATCAAGTACAGGAATTATTAAGCGAAAATTTAAAGACTCCGACTTATTTCAAGACTCGGGTAAAAAGAAACATTTTGCCTCCATCTATAATGATCTTAATGTCTACTCTCCCATGATAGAGAACTATTAATTATGTATTATGTTGATTAAAGAATTAGTGCCACTAGTAGGGTACACCATTAACTTGATTTTGGACATTGTCGAGTACAAAACAATGAAAATATCATATATTCATTATGAAAAGCCAAGAAACAGTACAGATGAAATATACATAATAGTTTAATAACAAGGACATTATACGAAACAAATTGTTTCAAATACTTTTTTATGATATTTCGTGAAATGCAATTCATAAGATTACAGAATAAAGAAAGAAAAAAAGCTGAATATATTAGATAGGCAGAACATTACATACGCAAAGGAAAAAAAGCTTGGATATATCCTAACGCACTTTTCCAAGTGGGAATGTTATCCATACTGGAGGAAATGTAGCGGTAACCACCGCCTATACTGAACAAATGAATTTGTAGTTGCAAACAGGTGTTTGCTTTCCATATCCTACAAATGGAAATGTACACATTGAGGAGAAAATATCCTCGAAATGGCTATTTGTCTGCTCTCATTAAGTTTATTTGATTTAGAAGTAAAGCTGTGTGGGACTATTTTGATTCAAAAATCAAAATCAAATCTCTGGTTGTGCTTCGTCTATTTAATCGTAATCGACAGTAAAACTTTTTTAAAGCATAATCAAAATTGAAAATTAACTCCGCTTAATCTCAGTTTCGTTCGATATATTTTGCCAGATTATTAAGATTTATATATTTGATCATTGCATCATTCAGTGTATAAATCTGTTCGTTTTAAGTGTGAAGCAAGAAGCCCAAAAATGAAGAATGGTTAATAATGCACTGGTCAGGTTCCAGGGATATGAATCGTGCCATCCAAAGTTATCACAGATACAGTTTGTGCAGGCGCACCTGACAATCTTAAATTAGTGGTATATTAAGTGTTCTAATTATTTAATATCCAATTTATGGATAATCTGTTCCACTCACAGAAACCTTTCAGAGGTCAAGCTTGTACAAGGTGATGATGGGGTATGGAAGTGCCACTAGCAACTAAGCATTGTATTCACTCGACATAATGCATTTGTCTGGTAAAGATTTACACCCTTGCTGATTCAAAACCTTGAGACTTTCAAACATCTTTGGTTCACTGTAATAGTTATAGCTTTCTTTATATTTCTGCCTTCCTTTATTTTATATTTCCTTATTTCGTCTCCTCTTTTCCGTCCTATATCTTTCGTATTAGATAATAGTTCTAAGATTTGTGATAGCATCTGAGTAGGTGCTCTGCAACGTCATAAAATGTTTGCAAAAACAATATATTGTTATCATGCACTTTAAGTATCAACGAAATGTGAGAAAATATGTATATTTACACAGCTTTCTTTCAGACAAAACTCTTTGCAATCTTTCCATTTAAATAGCAGGTATCTTCCTTTTCGTCGCTATCACATGACCGTAGTTTCAATGTAAAGTCAAAATACGAAACAAAAAGTTATCTCTGCTGACGGTTGCAAGTAAAGCTCTGATTCATATTATACCTCATCCTGTCGGCAGTCCAAAGGAATTTCAAGTAACCAGGAAAAAAGAAAGAATAAAACGTTTGGCAATAGATGCAATAAAGAATACAAAGCTATCTGATACATATGTGTACTACCCAGCAAACTGACCCCTAGTGGAACTACCTCATCCATAAGGGAATAACATAGCAACAAGAATGTAACGGAACAACTTCATTCTTAAGGAAACTACACAAAAATCAGACCCGTAATGGAACTACCTACTTCCCAATCATTCGGACTCCTAATCGAACTACATAGCTACTTGTTTCCAAAGGAAACTATCAAGACTGAATTATCCTTGGATTAAGACGCGTGTTCTTGAATGATAAGTTTGATAAGACAAATATTGCACAGATTCCTTCTAAGTAAAAACAATTTATCAATATGCTGACTTATGTATTAAGCTCATAAGTATAAAACAAACTATACTATTTTTCAGATGTTTAGCGTTTGATTTACATGTTGTTCACAATGTAAGCACTGGTTGCATATAGTTGTTGCATATAGGTGAAGGAATATTTCAAATAGAAATGAAGGAATATTCCGAAACATTTTCTTTACATGTTTCGAAACATTTGACAAAAATTGAATTTTTTTTTCTATTGGAATAATATATAATGATAAAACTCTACGGTGGGATCCAGTAAGTTAGTATTTTATTTACAATTCCCAAAACTATCTTGTTTCGAGCTCTGAGTATACAATCTCAGAGTATGTAAATACTTTGTCACTGTTTGAGTATATTCTGTCAATGTAGAAATTTGCTATATTAGTGTAGGACTATACAATGTCAGTGTAGGAATATATTATGTCAGTATGTGAGTATACTATGTCAGTGAAGGAGCATATTATTTTAATGTAGTAGTTCATTATATCAGGGTAGGAACATACAATGCCAATGTGTGTGTATGTCTGTGTGTGTGTTGGATTTTTCAGTCAACTCGCTACGATGTCTACAGTGCTGCAGTTTATTGTGATGTCTAGCATAAGAGCATAATACCACAGACATGTAGCATCATATCCCACATAGCACTATAATCCTGACACCGTGCCGACCTGTCCTGACACTAACCTCTTAATGCTGAGCACCTATTGAGACAGCTGCTAGTATCAATTTTTACAAGTCTTTTGTTTGAATCGTCGGGGTTTTAACCCGCGATCATCCGCATCCGAAGAGGACGCTCTAACCACTAAAGCCACACTAGCGGTTTGTCAATGTAGTATTATAAAGTGTCAGCGTGGGTTGTTTACTTTGTTAATATAGGTGTTTGGTAGTTTGCTATGTTAGTGTAATATCATACATTGTCAATGCAACAGTACAATATATGAATATAGGAGCTTATTATATCAATATAGGTATTTACTATCTCAATGTAGGAGTTTACTATTTAATGCATGCGCAATAAGTTTCAATATTGGAAATCTAATCGTCATCTATATGTGCAGAAAGGCAACAAAAGCGACTAAAGTCACAACAAAATATACAGCAATAATAATATCTACTGGTGCTACTTTAACTGCTACATTTATAAAACAAATTAAAAATAGTATGTTTGCAATTATAGTATAAGATTGTTATGCGATCCAATTCTTCTACGTTCACTTCTCAACTGTTGCTAATTAGATCTAATTCAAACTTTGACAATATGGAATACTTACCACCTGTCCAATGCCTTCAATTCAAGGATATGAAAACTTTGATTCATCGTTGAACTTTTAAATTATTTTCTAAGACTATTCTTTTCATTAGTTGGGAATAATTCCGATATGATAATCGGAATAGGAAACACTCGTAATAGCCAGGACAACAGAGGATAGCAAGGATCATAGCTAGTAGGATGCTGGACTAGCCAGATATTGGTTAAGTTGATGTTCTGTTTTCACTATGAGTATTTATCTAATTTACTGAATAGGATTTTATTAACGTGAATGTGAATATGCGATACACCAATGAGTTATAAAATAAGACAAAAAATCCTACTAAAATATGAAGTAACTTTCTGACTCAAGCTTGGCAGGCCAGTCTCTTGATTATGCCAAGGCAATGTAGAATCTGGCATTGAAGCTCGCGCACAAGCAGTAGGGCCAAGCCAGTGTAAATATAAAGTTGTTTTGCGGATTTGTAATTTTCATGGTTTATATTAGTTACGTACTCAAAGACGATGCAAGTATTTCAAACCGATAATAGTGTTGGGAAGCCAAAATTAATATTCTAAAACAATTGGACTGACAAACAGCGATATGAACATAAAAATTTACAGAGAAGGAGTTGAGAAGGGGTAAAATGATTGCATTTAATATTTGCATACACTACTGAAATGATCCTCTGCAAATAACATATTCTGTTCTTGATTGACATCACGCTTTCCACAAAGAAGTAAGCCGAAGCTAAAGATTGGATATGGCATTATGATATGTTTTCTCATCAACTTAGTTCGTCGCTGACTCTACCTGAGGCAGAATATGAAGAGACATACTGTGATCTACCCACCCCAGAAACAAAATGGAGTGTCAACAAATATGAATACCAATAAAGTCCAGATGTAAACGACGTTATATTATGCTATATTTCAGTAAGGATACTATCAAGGCTCGAAAACCTAAATTATATATTTTGCAGTATTGAACATTTGTCAATACTTCGCGAAATACTGTTTAGGGTATAATGAATGATTCAGGAGATTTTTGTCCTGAATTTGCATTTGATTGCGATGTTTGAACATAGAAGGTGACAACGTGAGAGGGAGTAATTCAATGAAATAGTCAGGAATTTGAGTCCTGTTACTTTAATAGCTTGTTAATAAGCTTTTCCTCATTCGTCTGGATTGCAAGCTTTCCCACCCATTTTCAAAATAAAGACACCGTGTGCCTGACTATTTTGGAAGTCTTATTTACCATTCTTAATATAAGCCCTGACTACACACGCATTTTCCAAAATGGGCCTGATATAAACTACATACCGTTTTAGATAAAAAATTTGCCTGTCTGTAAGTATTTTAAGAATGGTGATTCGAGATCATGCCTTTTTAATAATTATACTGATATGACAATTTTATTTGAAACTAGTATTCCTAGATGACAATGAAAATCCACATACATCAGATCAGTATTTTCAAAAACAAGTTCAGGGCTATTAGTTACTTTCTAGTTCATAGTAAAAATACAATGTTATGAGTGTTTTGTTAATCATTTACGAAACATTGCTTATGCGAGACATGAATCATCTGCAGAGCGACAGGCGAGATAACTCTCATCGGGAGAATAAATTAAGTTTATTAGAAACAATATAGGTTCGATAACAGATTTATGTGGTTTCTTGTAAATACGTATTAAGCAAAAAGACTCCTTGGAATTTATTAGTTTTGAAACTAACTCAGCTGGTTATGTAAAACGTCGTATTTGTCGTGTTCAAAGACAGGTTCTAAAGTATTTTTAGTTTTGCTTTTATGGTTTGACGTATATCTTTAAGCATTTAGAAACTTACGCAATGATGCCCAGTAATTTTATTGACAGGAATGGATTTAATAGCTGTAATTTAGTTTTCTTGCATTGAAATTGCATTCAGTGTATCAAAGCTTCATTTTGGAAAATTGTGTAGAGAAACATTACCACGGAAGCTATTAGATGACTCAGTATTTATTCAATATAATATTTTTAAAGGATGATGGGAAACAAACACAACAGCAATGGTGCGTAGAATATCGTCAGGTTCGATAGCATCAGAGATGAAACGATATCATAATAGGAATCACGACGGTAAAAGACCCTTGGGAAAACTTAATTTAAATATATAAAACTCCCAGGGGAAAGATAAAATAAAAAATATTCATGCATTTATTCCACTCATAACGATGATAAGTTAATTATATACCTTAACAATTAATGTTTAGAATATGTTTATGAATTAATATATACAGTGTGCTTATGTGTATAAAGCTTATGCATCTTTGTAGTTACTACCGTGCTTTGTGTATATTGTTTTGCTGCTGATAACACACCCAATAAAACGATAAAAAAACATTATAATATTAGATTAACGTCAATAAATGCTGTAAATTGTTCTGGAAATAATTAACATATACATAAATTGACATAGTTATTTGTTATCAATTGCGTTATAACTTGACATAGTCATTTGTAAACGATTGACATATAAATTGCCATAGTTATAAGTTGTAAATTGACATAGTTATTTGTTACTGATTGACATATAATTATAGGTTACTGCATTTGTATGGGAAAATATGAACGAGTTTTTCGGATGGTTATACTGCACGACCTTGGGAGTGTAGTATATCCTTCCGACAAAACGAGTTCATATTTTCCCATACAAATACAGTAACCATTTTATTATATGCTCATTTTGTATTCTTCCCAAGGCTTAAATATATAAACAAAAATACATTAAAAAAAAAACAAAGTAACTAAATGTACGCCATATTCCGAACTAAATACATAAGCGTTGATGGATCATTACACAACATTATTAATGAGCGCTTAACTCCACCTAGATAAATATGAAGTTGGTCGCGCGCTAGACGTAAGTTTCGAAAGAAAATGGCGCTTGCTCTACTTAAAATTGAAATTTGGAGTAATATTGTTGATGAATACACATTGCAACAACTTTTCCATTTGATCTGGAATTATACCTTTTATCTGGAATTATACCTTTTGGTATAATTGTCGATTCAACGCAATCTTTTGATTAATGTCTGGATTTATCTACATGAAGTGACTTGCATCGGTTTCCAGCAGCGTCTGCCATTTTAATGTTCTGCATTGTGTTGACATCGGCATGCGTGTTTCTTTTCTGTCATTGAATGATTCAGATCACAATGTGGGAAAATTATGAAGCCTTTACATTGCAATTATCGAAAACACACTGAGGAATGCTTTTTCCATTTTGAGTGCAGTAAGGAGGATGTAGCTACACTTGAAATATACTCGAAATTACAGTACAATTTCAGAGTGTGCAATCAATCTTGAGAACCCATGACAAGGCGCATCTAATTCAGATTTACAGACCTATGAAAATATATTTTTTGAGGAATTTCAGGATGTAAAATTGTAAGTATATTTTTGACCTTTTTTATTAACAGCTAAAGAAGACAGTTTATGTGTATAATTTGCATTTTAGTGTGAGGAACCCGTATAGCGTCACTATATAGTTAAATTTGAAACATTGTATCAAAAAGTAAACGTGGAATGTGCCAAATCAGTGTGTATGTGTCAGTCTATGAAACATTTGCTGGTATGAAGCCGTCTATGAAATATATGGTTTAATTTATTTATAAAAAAAATTGTTTACGTTAGAAAATAGTTCCTTTGCACGTGGGATATAGTATGAAGGTGTTCAATATCGGTGAATATTGCACGATTCTGACAATGTAAATTTAACGGAGAAAAAAGATGAGCATATAATAAATTGACATAGTTATATGTTGTAAATTGACATAGTTATTTGTTATCGATTGACATATAAATTGACATAATTATAAGTTGTAAATTGACATAGTTATTTGTTGTCAATTGCTAATTAAATTGACATAGTTATTTGTCATCAACTGCCATATAAATTGACATCGGAATCTCAAGCAGCAGTTTTTCATACCTTGTATCCTTAGTTTTAGACATTTGATCAAAATATGAGCATACACTGTAATCAAAATGAGCTAAATGGAACAAATATGTACTGAATTGAAGACACACAAGAATCTTACTAGCAAACCTTGAGGTTTTCTTACAGAAACCTCCAGTATATTTGTAACAGAAGCATTTGTTTTAAAAAAAATTATCAATCTCAGATTATTGAGCAAAAAGCTGCCAGATGTATGCAATCTAGCCAGGCAAGATTCGTCTTGTAACATCTATCTATCTATCTATCTATCTATCTATCTATCTATCTATCTATCTATCTATCTATCTATCTATCTATCTATCTATCTATCTATCTATCTATCTATCTATCTATCTATCTATCTATCTATCTATCTATCTATCTATCTATCTATCTATCTATCTATCTATCTATCTATCTGTCTATCTATCTGTCTGTCTATCTGTCTGTCTGTCTATCTGTCTGTCTGTCTGCCAAAGAATTAATATTTAACCGCGACATTAATTAGTTGATTCTATAAGTCGTGAGCCAAAATGTCAGTTGGTTGAAAGTGACATCATGTATTGGTAGATTGATATTTTAATAATTT